CCCCCCAAAAAAAAACCCCACCCTTACTGTGTCACTGTACCAAATACAAACTATGTTACTACGGGCCGAAGATTCTATAAACAAACCTGCAAAGGCAGAATGCGGTGGTCTGCGATGGAAGTGAAAAAATAAAAAACATTGTGATGTTGACTGTTGAGCATATTATACTTTAAGCAAGGTTTCTACCAAATTTAAGACTTAAATCTTCTTTACTTAGGCCATCCCCATCTCGCAACTACACCAAAAAGCAACAGGTTTGACTACTACAACCTAAACTCTTATACTTCAGTTTAAGCATGACAACAGTAGCTATCTGGCACACTAGGGAATACTTCTTCCGGGGAATCCTCTTAAGTATGAGACCCTCCTTCAACCGCAATATGCGATTAACTGCATCAAATTGTAAAACCACTCATCAGAGCTCTTGGGAGTCCTCCATTATTCCCAACATCCTTTTAATCCGCTCAGCAAGAGCCATTCCACACGAGACTCTAGATCATTACGGCCTATCTTCATCTTTGTTCAACTATGTTCATATGAAGCACTGCACGGTTTTTTACATATTTTGGCCACATTTGTTTATGTTCAAAGAAGAAAGTCTGGTATACTTCAACAAGTTGTACAAACAACTATAAAGAAAACATTACAAAAGTAGGAGCCAAATCAAGAGACTCGAGAATCAAGATGACTATGACGCACTAAGCCAATCTTTATCATGTCTTTGGAAAAGATAACAGTAGCCGATCTTTATACATTTTAGCCACAATTATTCCGTCCAGACAAGAAAGTCTGATACTCCAACCAGTTATCCAAACAGCTTAAAGCAAGCACTACCAAGTGTACGAACCAAATCCAACATGGAAGCACCATTTTCAGCAGCACGAGTATATATGCAAAGGAGGGTGCACTGGAACGGAACTTCAGAAAGAAACTGCAAGATTGGAAAATGGGGGAGTTCCAAAACCTTCTAAAAAACTAATGCATGAGCAAATCAATTTCAGTGACAGATCAGGACATCTGAAAAATGTGAAGGATGGTACAATGCCTTTTTCTCCTGGAAAAAGGTATGGTTTACAGTTGCAGAATCCATCCATAAAATGAATTTGAGAAAAAGGAAAGGTAATTCATGTTAAGTGGAGATATACGTTCAAAAGGTCCGAGTAAAAGATGTAACCATATATTATTTGCCATGAAATAATCAAGTCAAATACAATTTAGCCCAGCCACAGAATCCCTCGAGACCATCATAAAATGCAAAATAAGGAAATCAATTGGCACTCCCATCCCGACCAAATAATACAATCAACCATAACCAAGATTATCACAACCCCAGAGATAGTTAATCAAACTCATCCTTTCATATCTCAAACATAGTTGACTACCATGTATTGGATAACCAGACAGACAATTGAGCATGCATAAAAACTAAGGCCTCAACCATACAAAAAGATGAAGTCGTCGGCATGGAAAAAAGGCAGAAAAGAAAATAATTTGAGATCAAAACGATTAAAATGCAAGGGAAAGAAGGCTTTCCAATACCATATGAAACTAATATCATCAGCTTCACCAGAAATTTTAGAAGTTGTTCACAAACCAGCACATTATTTCTAAGGCTCAAAGCCTACAAGACATTTACTATATTTATATCCAAATACGACCTCCACGAAGAGCTCTAAAAAGCACAAAAGCCTCCTGAAGAAAGAAACAGTCTGACTACCATAACTTAAAAGGACATCATTACAAGGTGCAGATGAAGAAGCCAAAGTACATAGCAAATCAAAATCATCAAACCAGACTTCTAAATGTCTGCATTCAGCAAGAACCACTAAAAGCAACTGCACCAAGCTGTCAAAACACCTGAATCAAACATCCATTCACAACTCAATACATCATTCCACGTCTGGAAATCAAACTGATCTTAAAATTGAAAGCAAAAGAAAGGATCATTACAGTATTAAACCATCAAAGTAACACAAAAGTACATAAAATACAATTGAATTGGATGCAAATATATCCTAGTTATCAATGATCATACAAACAGAGACAGCCAATCTAATCAATCTAGGATTACACACAACAAAGGGAAAAAACAAACAACAACAACAAAATCAACAACCTTGGGTTTCTCTTTCATATAGAGAAGCCGCACAAGCTAAAAACAAGAAAAACATGGGTAAGCATTGATCAGCAGAAACACAAAGAAAAATGATCACGTAGAACATGGTTGCAGAAAAACTCATCGAGAGCGCAATAACCTGATGGACCCAAACCACCAAGGCATCATACTTAGGCCTCCCCCCCCCCCCAAAACCCCCCCACACACACATCCCAAGAGGAGAGAGAACTAGAAAAACAAGTCAACAATAATAATGCAAAAATAAAGAATTCACATCAATTTACAGTTGAATAAGCATGACAATAGTCATGAAGCATATGCAACAACAACAACAACAACAACAAACGCAGTAGTTTCCCACAAATGGGGTCTGCATATCCAATGACAGATAAAATTCAGCAGAAAAAGAGAAGGCAAAAGTAAAAATAAACAGAAGTACTCAAATAAATATGGGATTATACAGTTTGAAGTCATTTTCCAATTAGGAAAATCCACATGCCCAAGAATCAGGTTGTTCAGACATGCTGAGAATGTAGAGTGAGGGACAAAAGGCACCCAGATGACACAAAAAATAAAAAAGGGAAGAGTCAAACAGACTTCAATTTATCCACACAATAAAAAAGGACATCCACTAGAATACCAAATGCACAAATGGCGTCCATTGATGTGTGTTCCTTTCTCAAGACAGAATGTCGCTCTAAAATCTAGAAACATTAATTGCTATGTGTTCAACAGATATCAAGAATGCAAAGAACCAAAAAAATGTGAATCTATCATAGCATAAAGCAGAAATTTCACGAATTACATTAAGAAAACTGCTTTAATGGTTCTTGCCTTCCTCCCGTTTTATCACATTTCTGCCCTTGTCTTACTTAGTAAACCCTACTGCACATTAAGTATATCCACAACCAGATCATAGTCTAACCCAGCATACACCACGAAAACTCACTGAATATTAAGCATACTTTACAACCAGGTAACCCACACAAATGTTTATCATTCTAACCAAGCATGCACCACACATCATCAACCAAAAATATTCAACAAGCAGAGTGCAACGCATAAAAATGGAGAAAAAAATCACACTTGGGCAAAAGAGTACCGACAGACAAAAGGGAACCAACCACCAATCAATATAATCACATAAAAAGGTGGTGGGAGGAGGAAGAAATTTAGTAATTTACCTCAGTAGTATGAATGCATCCCCTGGTACATACCCCCAGGTGCAACTCTAGGTGCAGGTGATACCCCGGGCACTTGGTTTTGTTGACTGTAATGAGGACCCTGTGGTGGATAATCTCCTGAAGCCAACCCAGTTGAGCTTGGGGGTAACCCATACATTGAAGAGCCACGGCCTGCACCGCCTAATGCACCACCAACTCCACTTAATCCACCACCTCCCAGCGCCCCAGTGCTGCCATATCCACCACCTCCCAATGCCCCAGGACCGCCATATCCACCACCACCACCAGTAGCACTACTGGCCAACGCGCCATATCCAGCTGAACCAGGTCCACCATAATGAGATCCCCCACCTCCACCATATAGACCACCATACCCACCACCACTAACAGAACCCCCAGGTTGGCTCCCACCATAAGATGAACCACCACCGGGGCCACCCACACCTATACCATTCCCACTACCGTATGCTGAATTGGGCCCATGTCCGCCGGGTCCACCAAAGGTTGAATGCCCTGGAAATCCACCATAACCAGTAATCCCACTAGGCCCACCATACTGGCCCGGGCCAACCTGATCAACATGACCATCAGTTTGAGCCTGAGCTCCTCCTCCAGGCTTCCCCCCTTTCTTCCCATCAATAGCTAGCTTACAATTCAACTGATGCCCATCAATATTCTTAACAGGATCCACTAGCGAAGCCTTAGCCGCCTCCGCCGTCTTATACACAAACAAAGCATACCCTTTCGACTTCCCAGTCGCCTTATCAAACCCTAATGGCCCTTCCTCTATTTCCCCATACATACAAAAATGCTGTAAAATCCTCTCGGCCTGCATATCATACGGCACATTCGCTACATAAATCTTCCTCGCCGACACATCAACCGGATTATTGGTACTCCCGCCACCAGGCCCACCTTGAATCCCAGCTGACGCGAGCTGAGTCACTGCCATTCGTCCATCGATCTTCTTACTCGGCTCCTTCAAAGCAAGTAAAGCTCCATCAACATCCTTAAACGTAACGAACCCGTAACCTTTGCTTTTACCAGTGGCTTTATCGTTAATTACGACGGCTTCTTCTAACTCGCCGTAATTTCCGAAAATTGCTTTAAGTTTTTCCGTATTCGTTTCCCAGCCGAGTCCGCGAATGAAGAGCTTCCGTTGAGTGGTGTCGCGATCGGCAATTACTCGTACTTGGTCTAAAACGTCGGCGTGACGTACAACAGCGGTTTGTAGGATTTCGAGCATTTGTTCGGGGGTGACTGATTCTAGAATCTTCCGTGCGTCTTCGATTGTGAGTCTACTGGTAACGGGGACGTCGGTGATAACGCCGTTATCCTCGAGCTTTCGTTTCTTCAAAAGGTCCATCTCTTTTTTACAGTGAAGAGATTCTGGAACTGACCGGAGGTTAAACCCTAATCAGAGGAAGAAGAGGGTCGAGGCGATACCCTAGAAAGGTGTATATCAGAATGTGGATTGGGTTCGTTTCTGGGCTTTTATGATAGCCCAACGCTGACAAAGACAACCCAGGGAATTACTAGCACTCCTACTACTTTTCTTGTCACTTTGCTAAGAAGAATTAACTGTTTTTTCTTTCTTGAAATCTTATTATCAAAATTATCCGCCCTAAATAAGATAAAATCTTTATAAAATCTATTATTACTCTTTACACTATTTTCCTTTTCTTTTCCTATTTTAAAAATCTTTTTTTATTAATAAGGTTCTTTTCAATTGATACGGTCCAAACATTTACTTTTTAAGAGTATTTAATTGATGGGAGGACTGAAAATTTATCAATATTGATTGGTAAGTACTATTACTTAGAGCTTATTGTTTTAGGGGTGTTGGAATACCATTGCATTTCGTATTTTTAATTAGATTGGGTGTTATTTGCCACTGATAATTCTGTAGTTGGTAGCATTTTTATTCTTCAGTGATTTGTTTTAGTCATTTCACTCATGTGGCATTGTGCAGGAGGGGGGTGATGATGATAAATTTGTGTGGTACATCACCATACAAATTAAAAATAAATTTTGTACAAATTTGATACATTTACGACAACATATAAATTAAAAATAAATTTTATACAACTAATTATATAATATACAACTTATTTATAACTTATCTACAACTTTCATACCATGTTAAATACAACTACAACATCATACAATTTAAATACAATTTTCATACAAATTTTATACAATATGTCTTCTGTATGTATTTTGTAAAAGATTTGTATATATTTTATATGTAGTGTGTTCTTCTTCCTCTCCAAAATTTCAATCAAAATTTTCTCTTTTAATACAATTTTGATACATATCAACAATTTTATGTAAAAAGATAATATTAATTACTTAAATATAAATTTCATACAACGATTCATACATTATACAACTATTTTCAACTTTCATACAATATTCAAATAAAAAACATATATAACTACAACAGAATACAACTTAAATATAATTTACATACAATTATAATATAACTTTAATACAATCTCGTAAATATATTGTATGTCATGTGTTCTTCTTCGAGTTTCAATCTGAAATTCAGCCAAAATCAAGTTTAATCTTCACTAAACATTCTCAAAATTGAGATATAAACTCCAAAAAATATTCTTAGTTGTTTGCAACAATACCCAATCCAAACAAATAATGGTTTATGAAAACCCAAATTTGAATTCAAAACTTTTTAATGGTTGTCAATGGTGGAGAGTCAAACACCTTCAAAATTTATTGATTGACAATTTTAATTTGAACACCAATTATGCAACATGACAAAGAATTGCTAAGTTAAAACTTTATAGTAAAATAATTGAAATCCATTATGAATTCCATTAAAAATATATACAACATGAAAGAATAAAAAGTAGAGAACATCAATGGAAGAAAAAATAGGGAAAGAACAGAGAATGAGAGATAGAGAGACAGAGGGAGACACACAGAGAGAGAAAGAGAAAGGGGGGAGAGAGAGATGGAGAGAGAGAGAACATGGATGGGAAATAACTAATTCCTTATTTAATTCCTAATATAAAAGGATACTCATTTAAAACTAATTTATATATAATTGATAAATTATATATGGACATGTAATTAAGTTAAAACTTGATTAGGGAGGGTAATAAAGTTGCATATATAGTATAAGAAGGTAAAAATCCCATAACCTAAATAGTTACTCGCCTAATTAAACATAAAATAGTTTGCATATATATAGTTTGCATAAGTATACATATATATATATATATATATATCAACTAAAAAAATAAACAGTGAATCTTGCCATCTATTTGTGTAAAGATCCATTTTCTTTTTCATAAAAAGCTCTCTTCGGATTTGATTTTGCATATTTTCCTTCCATATAAATTAAGATACAACACTTGACTCCTTTTTTGATTTTTTTTGGAGTAATTTACACTATGTTTTGTTGGGAAGCGTACCTGGCTAATAAAAGGGGAAAAATATTTAAAAAAAGAAAACCAATAAATTGCACAAGACAAGAAAAAACAAGATTTACGTGGTTCGGCAATTTTAGCCTACTCCACGGCCACAAAAAAAATAGCGCTTTATTAATTAAAAAGAAAGAAGAAGTTGGTGGATGACCTGCAAATGAAAATGCATACCCCTTTTAAAGGCATTTGAATGCCCTGCCGATGTAAGCACTTACGTTATAAGAAAAGAATTCAACCTGCCGACGTAAGTGCTTACGTCATAAGAAAAAAATTCAAAGATAAATTCTTCCCCCTATCATTTTGCTTCTCTCTTTGACTTTTTTTTCTCTTGTGTTATCTACTTTCTTTCTTTCACATACAACAACAGGTTTGTTCCTATCAATCTCCCCCTCAAACCTATGTTACATGAAGAAAGAAAGTAAAAAAAGATTTGCTATTCTCTGGTAGCGCCTTCACGCTATCAGTCTTGAAGACTAACTGAGGCTGTGCACAACCTCAATTTGCTAACATCGACAACTTTAGTCAACGTGTCTGATGGGTTCTTCGATCCTGTTATCTTTCATAGGGAAAGAGTTTCTTCACTTATCAACTCTCGGATATGATGATACCTCAACTGAATGTGCTTTGATCTTGCATGAAATACTGGATTCTTGGCAAGATGAATTGCACTCTGGTTATCACTAAAAAGCTCACAATTGTCTTGCTCTTTACCTAGCTCTTTAACAAAGTTCTTGAGCCAGATCATCTATTTTCCAGCTTCTGAGATTGTCATGTACTCTTCTTCTGTGGTAGATAGAGCAACACTTTTCTGAAGTCTAGACATCCAACTAACAGCAGTATTACCTAAGGTGAACACATAGCCCGTGATACTTTTGCGACTATCCAGATCGCCGCCTAAATTTGCATCAGCAAAATCTTGTAAGATAATATTACCCATTTTAAAACAAAGTGTCATACCTGGGGTGCCTTTGAGATATCTCAATACCCATTTTACACCTTCCTAGTGCTCCTTTCCTGGATCTGACATGTATCTACTGACAACTTCAACTGCATGGGCCATGTCAAGTCCGGTGCAAACCATATCATACATCAAACTTTCTACTGCAGAAGCATATGGAACTTTGGACATATACTTCCCTTCTTTATTTGTCTTAGGTGATTGGTCCTTTTATAGATTAAGATGGCTTCCAAGTGGAGTATTTCTAGTCTTTGCATCATGAAGACTAAACCTATTTAGTACCTTCTATATGTACTTTTCTTGAGATAATTTTGAGGTTCCTTCAAATAAGTTTCTGCTAATCCTCTTCCCAAGTATTTACTTAGTTGGTCATAAGTCTTTCATTTCAAACTCCTCCGCCAGTTGTTGCTTAACCATGTTGATCACTTTTATGCTAGATACTGCAATTAGCATATCATCAACGTACAACAGTAAAATGATATAGGATTCATCAAGATTTTTGATATAACAGCAATGGTCCATCTTAGATCGTGTGAAACCGTTGTTATGCATGAATCCATTAAATTTCTTGTACCATTGTCGGGGAGCTTGTTTCAAACCATACAAACTCTTCTTCAACTTACACACAAGGTTTTCTTTACCAGAAACTTGAAAACCTTCAGGTTGCTTCATGTAGATATCTTCTTTAAGGTCACCATGCAAGAAAAAAAAAGTTTTAACATCTAACTGCTCCAAATGCAAATTTTTTGCAACTACGATACTTAGCACCAACTTGATAGTAGTTAATTTGACTATATGAGAGAAGATCACGATGTAGTCAATTCCTTCCTTCTACTGAAAGCCTTTTACTACTAATCATGTTTTGTATTTATTCTTACCATCATGTTCTTCCTTGACTCTGTATACCTACTTATTCTGCAATGCCTTCTTTCCTTTTTGTAACTCTATAAGTATCCATGTTTTATTCTTTTGAAGAGAATTCATCTTTTCTTTCATGGCTAGCTTCCACTTATCTGAATTTATCACCTCCATTGCTTCAACAAAATGATCTGGTTCTCCAGCATCAGTCAAAAGTAAATAATGGAGAGATAGAGAGATAGAGAGAGAGAGAGAGAGAGAGAGAGAGTTAACCTATTTGGAGCATTCGTGACTCTTTTAGATCTCCTTAATGTATGTTCAAGAGTAACTGATCCCGAATTTGATTCAAGTCCTGACTCCAGATCTGGTTCTGCATCTGATTCTATCTTTGGTTCCGGTTCCGGTTCTGGTTCTTATCCAGATTCGGCTTCTGGTTCTTATCCAGATTCGGCTTCTGGTTCTTCATCTTCAAATTCAGAATCAGTTCTAATCCCTCTAGCCACTTCATTTTCTGAGATTTCTTCTAACTCAACTATTTCAGATGCATGTTTGTTGGTGCTGGTTGGTTTTACTTCAAGCTTGTCCTTGTACATTACATTTTTATTAAATGTGATATTCATGTGTCTTAGGATCTTTCTACTCAGATCATCCCAAAATTGATAACCAAAATTATCATCACCATAGCCAATAAAGAAACATTTATTGGTCAAGCTTATCTTTATCATTAAAGTTTACATACACATAAACAACACAACCAAAAAATTTCAGATGTGAGAGAGTTACCTCCTTTCTTGTCCATACCTCCTCAGGAATTTCAAAACTCAATGGTACAGAGGGCCCCCTATTTATGAGGCAAGCTGTCGTGTTAACAGCCTTGGCCTAAAAATACTTCAGTAGTCCAGAATGTATTCTCATACTTCTGGCTCGTTCATTCAGGGTTCTCTTTATCCTTCCAGCAACGCCATTTTGTTCTGTTGTTCCAGGAGCTGTCTTGATCATCCTGATCCAATTCTCATAGCAGAATACTTTAAACTCTTAACTATCATACTCTCCTCCATTATCAGACTTTAGAAATTTTAACTTTAAACTTATCTGATTTTCAACTTCAGCTTTCCATATTTTAAAGGTAACTAAAATTAGATTTATTTTTCAAAAAATAAACTCATATCTTTCTTGTAGAATCATCAATGAAGGTGACATAATAGTGTG